GGGCGCTCCTGTCCTCCACGCCGCTGCCCCCTACATGGCGGCCGGAGCGGAAGAACAACAACAACAAAAGCGGCCATGCCACCCTAGGATTGGGCAGAATGCCGCCTCCTACAAGCTGCCGCCCCAAGCTGCCTGGAGCCGGCCCTGATTGTGACAAGAAAACAAACATGTCTTCCATTGCCCAAGAGGTCTGTGAATACATTGAGTCACTGGATAAGAAAGTGTGCTCTCAAAGGTATTTTTAGCAACAAAGTTATTGGCTTTATTTTTATAGTTTATATGACCAAGGTTTAAGAATAGCTGTGGGATTCCCCTGTGGTCCAAAAGTTCATAGGTGATTCTGAGACTGGATGAGACTGTCTCCTTAATTTTGGTAGCTACTTGGAATGCTGCTATTTGATTCCTTAGAGTGGTAGAGAAACAACAGTTTCTAAAAGTGTTTGTCCTTACGTATATTCTGCACATGGGTTCACAAGTGCCTGAGACTAGAGATTTGTGTCAGTTGGTCCGTGCCCGTGAAGTTGCTTCCCTCATGCTCTCAATGAGGTTCCTCAGATTCTGGGTAGGACAGGAGCACTACCAGTTCAGAGTGTTCCTATTCAGATTGGCAACAGCACTAAAGTCTTCACAAAATTCTTCTCTGAATGGCTATGCCGTTTTTTCATATCTGGACTATTGGTTCTTGATGAGCATATCTAGCCAGGAGGTCCAGTCAACGATACTATTCTTGCTTCATTTTCTGGCATCCTTGGGGTGTATGAACAATGAAAAGCTCACTTTGATTCCCACAAAAGCCATAGACTTTATAGGAGTTCCCTGAACTCAATGCCAGCAGAGGTCTACCTTCCTGTCAACAGATTCCAGGCCAAACACAGCCTGATAAGATAGCTAACCATCAGACCATGTACTGTCGTCAAGGTTCATCTTTCCTAGTAGGGAAAGACAGACATGGCTGCGTATACCTATGTAACGCCATTAGCCAGGATTTATCTCTGTTGCCTGCAGGCCTGTCTCTGATCTCTTTATTCACCAGACAGAGAATATAAATACCAAGGTGAGGATGGTGGACAAAAAAGGATCAGGTGCGTGTTTCCTTCCACCTGCATGGGACACAACCATAATCACAGGTGCATCCTCAGAGGATGGGGAGCCTACATGGACAGTCATACTGCCCAATTCACATGGTCTCCTTGGGAGGCCAACATGCATATTGACCTCCTGAAGCTGAGAGCAGTCT